ATGAAAAAATAAATTTTTCAAAAAAAAAAATAAATAAAATTTTAGTAAAAATAGGAAAGACCAAAAAGATAAATTGAAAAGCTTTACTTGAATTGAAAAAATTGGAAATGTTTTGGGGTTCGACATATAAAATTCAACCATATAGGTACATAATTATATTAGATTGTCAAATATCTCCCTTCCGCCCCTTTGTTTTTGAATTTCGCGGCTATGTATAAAGCGTTACAGAGCTCGTATCGATATTGCGTCCAACAGTTAACGACGTGTAAACATGGAGTTCAGTAGCGCCGAAATTCGCACTATATTAAAGTTTTCCTTCGTTAAAGGGAAATAAGCTTGAGAAACATTCCGTGAGATTAATGGTGGTTTGGGGGAGTGTACTCTATCGCTTCGAACTGCGGAGGAATGGCTTCGACGATTCAGAGCGGGTGAAAACGCCACCATGGATAAGCCAGCCGTCGGAAGACCTGTGACGACGAACACCGATCAAATCATGGAAAACATCGTGTTAGACCGGCATGTGGCATCTCGTGACATCGCCCAGAAAATGGGAGTTAGTCACTAAACCACTTTAAACCATCTGCAGAATGCTGGATACACAAAAAAAGATTGATGTTTGTGTGTCGCATGATTTGACGCAAAAAAACCTTCTGGGCCGAATCAACACCTGCGATATGCTGCTGAAACGAAACAAACACGACCCATTTTTGAAGCGTATGTTGACTCGCGTTGATAAAAGGATCACATACGACAATATCAAGCGAAAACGGTCGTGGTCGGAGGCCGGTGAATCGTTCCAAACACGTCTGGTTTAACAGCCAGGAAGGTTTTGCTGTTTTTTATAAAACATTGAATAAAGAGCAAAAAGGTGGTAGGGAGATATTTGACAACCAATACATGTATGTATATGTAGAGTTCTAGAAAATGTCACCATTATCATTGCTGCGCTATCAAGTTCTTGTATGTTTACGGCTCCCTAAACAAAGCTTTTACTTACAACAACACATGTACGTACGAGCATATGCACGCAAGCGTGAACATCCATCTATACTTAGTACTTAGCTTAAGCTTAAAACTATCAGGTACTTGGGCATTGAAATGCAAATGCTTAACATAAACTTTAGCAGCTAGCGCTCGTACGCATCTGCGTGTCTGTTTGCATGCATGTAACTGTGTATATTGACTTAAGCAAAGTTAATTACAGTATATAGTATATTTAAATTTTTTTGCTAGTTTTTATTTTTATTCTTATTATTTTTTCAATTTCGTATAAATATTATGCCTTATGCTATGAGTGAAGAGTACTTTTGTAGTTATCAGCAAAAATTTGGACAATCTGAAGTAGCACATATTAAACGTGTGTGTATATAGGTATTTTCGGATGCTTTTCTTTTTCAACGAGTAATATTCTTATTTGCTTAGTTTCGCAAGGTTAGGAATAACCACTGTTTTAATAAATGCTGTTTTGTAGGCTTTTAGGTTTGCTCAATGTTTGTATGCACGTAGATTTAGAAATATTTATTAGGACGCTCGCTACCAGCTGTTTGTTGTTATATTAAATAACAATATTCAGTACTAAGTTTCGGGTAGGCTTTTGGTTGAGTTTAGTTATAAATATTTTTTTTTTGTTTTGCTGGTTATGCTTATTACAAACACTCATACATTGTATGTTACTCTGAGTGTATTTGCTGTTCGTGCCAGTTTTTATACATACTCGAAATTTTTTCCGTTTTTTTTTTATTTTTTATTTATCTAAATGCTTCCATACTTATGTTTGCATGAAGGCATGCATGTTTGTATGTATGCATATGTATATTTTAGCGTTGGTCTTGCGTACTTTTTGGTTTGGTATTTTACGAATTTCAATAAATATTAATCATCTAATCTAAATGCATACATTTGCATGTGTGTATGTGTTTCGCTTGCTTATGCCTACACAACTAAGCTGTTGCAGTATTCAGTTCACTTCGAATTTTTTAAATATTACAAAATCTGTATTTACTCATGAGTAGTCTGTGTTTACTTGCTCTCTTTTTATCGTAAATATTTCAAAGTTCTCGGGTTAAAAGGATATTAATTTCATATTCATTTACCTGCAAAATGTAGTCATCCAAGTTGAAGAGCATCAAAATTGCATAACATGTTTAGTCGAAAGAGCGCAAAATAAAAGTTGTTTGGATTTTTCCACTTGAATTTTCTTTTAAATAAATATGAAAGGAGATAATAATAATTGTAAAAGCTTCAGCTGGGTTTCAGGCGATGAAGAAACGATGTAATATAAAGCACCAACATTGAAAGAAATTTGAGTTCTGGTTATAAAATGGTTATTATATATTGGTTATACGAGTATCTGTTAGTGGAAGTCGAAAATTTTAAGCTGCATACGTATGTATGTATATATAATAAGTATGATTGTAAGCAATAAAATACTCAATTTCGATTTTTTTGATGATACGTTGTTTTGCATTTTAGGGGACGATATTGTACGTATGTGTTATAAGTAGCTTGTTCACTTGCTGGTGATTGAAGCATGTCCGTTAGCGATCCAAATAAGCAAAGCATTATATGGCGTATTATTGTATTAGTTTTAGGTACTCAATGAGTTGAAGCGCGTCGTGAAAAGTTGCTAGGCTGTCTCATAAGCGTTAAACTGTTCTAATACGCATTTCAAAAATTTGCCCATATCATTCGGAAAATATTCGAATTTTTTTGGTCATGAAAAGTTTCAATGATTTTAAGGGTGTGAAATTGGGAAAAATCGAATTTCATTTTTTTCGAAATTTTTAAAAAATTGATTTCGAATTTTTTTTACAAAATTTTGAAAAATCGATTTTCGAATTATTAATGAAATTAAAAAAAAATCGTAAAATGATAGTTCATACCTTTAAAAATATTCTTAAATTTCAAATCGATATCTCAAATTGTTTGTGAGTTACAGCCATTTAAATGGCAACCGTTTAGTTCAATCAGGCCAGTCAAGTGCAACACAACATTGTAGTTCATATCGAAAATTAACTTTTTTTTTAGAAATAATGCTCGCTGTAAAGAAATTATCGTCTAACATATGATCGACGAAACTGAGGCCTATTTTGAAGCGTACGGCAAAGAAATTATGTAAGTATATCAAATAGTTGAAGGGTTGCCATAATCAGTGTATCACTCTTGAAGGGAACTATGTTGAATAAAAAAAAAATATGGCAGGAGTTCCAAAGATTTAAAATTTAAAAAAGTTGACATTTTGGCCATTTAGATATTCAAAAATAACTCCATTATGAATTTTTCAATGTTAAAGCCGTTTTGGTGTCTTGACATTAGCTTTGAACGCGTTTTTGGTGCTATTGCTATGATATCTAATCAGTCGATTAGATCAAGTCAAGTTTTCCGCTGTAGAATCACTAATCTGTCACTGTTTTTATTTTATGGTGACGACATGAGTAACAATCTTGACGAAGGCGATGCGGACTTTACTTAAAGAATGCATAACTTTATAAAAATAAAATTGGAAAAATTATTCGAAATGCAAGCTGATAAACTAGAACACCGCCTTAAATTTATATAAAAAGTTTTTGAAAAATATGCTTTAAATACTGACTACAGAAGTGCTCAACATTTTCAAAGCTTAAGCTTAAGTGGAAAAAATTAAGAGCACAACGTAAGCTCATTACAGTTGCTAACATTGCAAGAATTTGCGTTATTACTTTCATGGAACTTTCCTAACTGCTTTCGTAAGTGGAAAAGTTTCCGCTTTGTTGAAGTAAAAGCCTACCTATGACCTTTCCTTGCCACAAAATATTACACATCAGGCCTTTGTGAACCTCTTACGGTAATTTTTGCAACCTTTACCTTAAACTTGAAAACACATTCCGTTTCGCACACTTTTTCTCACATTTTTCATTTCCTCAGTAAAGTATATTAATACCCTCTCCATCGCACATTCATAATTTATGCCACGCAGAATGAAATTGCAAGCTTAGCAACCACTGCTACTGTCAGCATAGAAATTCAGTTGCAAATATTTTAATCTGGATGGAATTCTGTGAGCGAATAGTATATTTGTAAAAAGGCAATGCCGTGATAAGACAAATTTATTTGTAAATTTCACACATCAAAAGCAGAAGTTTAAGGAGCAACATTGGCATTTCTTGAAAGAATGAATAATTGTGAAATAAAATTTTACTCGAGAACTTTGATACTTTTGGCTTTAAAGACATCGAATTTGTAAAGAATTTCTAAACTGAACTAAATTATGACAACAGCTTAGACTATATAGAAACATAACACTTACTTACGCTATGTCCACATTGCTAGCCATTCTAAAGATTTTTAATGATTTTGAGATCAGTCTTTCATTTCTAATGGGACTATTTACCATATAAAATATTATGCTCACTTCATATATGTACCTACACACAATTTATATTGACTTGCTTAGATAGACGCTCTAAACCGCTGTTGGTGGTGGCAACAGCGATGAATTTGACGATCTCAAATAAGGATTACCGTAAATGGCGCTATAACGTGGATCCACACTCATCGCCACCGAACTGGAAATGACATGCGTCGCGGTGCTCTGATTACTACAGCTGCCATTCGGCGAGGAGCTCACCACAGACGCTGTGGTGGATTGCAAACTCGGCAAACCATTGTCTTGGCGTATTTCGCGCGAACCGACAATACTACTCGTCAGACTGCCGCTCGCACTACCGTTCGAGAGGAAGGTCATTGGCATTGTTTGTGGTGGTGGTGTTTGTTGATGATGTTGTAGCGTTTGTTGCATATGTTGTTGTTGCAAGTGATTATGGTGATTATTCTGTAATATTGTCGAACTGCCATTCGATTTGGTGGAACAAGTGGTGAGATACTGTGGTGGCGGGCTATAGTGTGTTGAGTAGTCGCCATAGGGTACATAGCCGCCGGATATGTCCACTTTCAGATCACTGTAGTTGGAGGTGCGATCGCCGGCTTCCATTTTACAAGCAACACCGCCATTCTTACTTATCTGATGCTCGCTTATCACATCGGCCGGTGGTAGTTTGGTGCGCTTCTTACACTTGAAATAGATTATAATGATAATGATGAGCACCATAGCACAGCCGACCACGGACGTGCCACCAATAATAATCATCATAGGTGAGATGGTTTCTGTGGATAAAAGAGGGCAGAAAATAATATTATTTATAAGCAATTAATTCGTTATTTATTACAACATGTGAAATCGAAGTGTTACATTGGAAAACGTAGTCTACATGAAAGTGCTGAACCGAAATAAAGTACTCCCCATCGTAGGATTCTATCTGAACTGCATGACTATGTACTACAAGTTGAGTAGCATTGGCATAACAGAGTCTACCGAAAAGACGTAGCTTTTTAGATTTACTATAAGTTGCATGCGCTGTAGTGAATATAAAGGTCTAAGTTCTTCTAATAGGAATCTGCTTCAGCTATTTCGTACAATCAAACATTGCCATATGTATATTGAGAGCAACCCCATTTATTGACTACTATCTACGTCATAAAATCAACTAATGGGTAAAAATAATTAAATTCAGTTTATTTAGGCTAGGGAAATATTGACCGATGCTGCCTTTTTTGCTACCAAATCACATTTTATTAACTGAAACGTTTTCAAACGATAATATCAACCGCGAGAAAGTGTAGGTAGCAGGAAGATCGAGAATACAACTGCGAATGGTCGCATTGGTGCTAACCAAACTGCAGAGAATAGTGTGAATGTGCAATTGCAAATGGCTGCATTAAACAAGATTCTGGATACCACTCCACCCACAGTACTCTGAGCATACCGCTGACATTCTTAACTCAACTAGACGCGCTATTCAACAAAGGGTTTTCTATAAAAGTAGGTGACGAAATAACTAGGATAATTTCGCTACCAATAATTATCTCAAAAGAAGCACTTTACAACTTTTTACCCAAAACAGAACTCAAAAACAGTGGGAGAACTAGTACTGCATGCCAGTGGGGCCCATAATCAGACTCTCTCTGCATATATAAGTGCATTTCCAAGTATTTTCTAAGCAAAGGCCTTTAAGTCAATTTAAAGATGTTATCCTACAGCCGAACTATTCGAAAATTGAGAATGGCTTAGGCGATAGGACTATATATGTTATTTTTGTTGTGTATATCTGATTCGAAAGTAGCTTCGGAATGTCGAGAGAGCGAAAAGAAATAAAACTAAACTCATGTCCTTCGCTAAATGAAAATATTACTGGAAGCGTAGAATGTGAAAATGTTCTGTTCGTTAAAAAAAAAAAAAAAAAAAAAAAANAAAAAAAAAAAAAAAAAAAAAAAAAACGACTAGGAAAAAGAGACGGTGATAGGACCACCATTCCATAAACGTTAGTCTCAGTTGCTGTATTCTATTGAAGAAGAGCTCTAGAGGTAGTAAAGAGCATAAAGAATGAATACTGGTTACATAATCCTGATTAAAATGCCCCGTCAGATAAATAATCATTCTGATGATAAAACAGGAGCACTTTTAACAATGTTTATATATCACTCATAACCCTTTCGTTTGTTCCACAAAAGATTTTCAGTTGCTTAAAAAATGAATTTGAATGTTAAAGCAGTATTGTATAAAAGTTTCCTCGCTTTTGAAAAATATAGCACTTATTTTTATATATTAAATATATGAAACAATGTTTTTCGTTTCGAGATAAATACCTCAATAATTTAATGCAATTCTTAATATAAATGTGCCATGTGCTTATTATAATATTCCAAGCAATCCTCAACCAATTTTCCATGCACACCTCACACCTCAGCCTGCAATGCTGTACCCACATGCATCGTTTATGCACGCAATTACCTTCACAAGCATACACACACACACACTTATAAAGTATATGGTTGAAAAGTGGGTGAAAGTACTCACTTTGTGCTTGCAAATTGATTTCCAACACATCGTTGCCATAATCGTTCACCACTGTGCAATTGTATTTGCCATAATGATACGCTTGACTGTCACGAATGATCAGAGTCGATTTAACGCCACCCGGCACCGGATCCACCAATATCGAGTAGTCGTGTCCGTATTCAGCGCTGATTTCATGTCCATTAAATGTCCACGAGACGTGACGCGCACGTGGCACCGATGTTGCGGAACATTCAAGGCGCGCTGTATCACCCACCCAACCGAATTGATATGGTGGCGAGTAAATGGTGGGCGAACCTTTCAGGTAAACATACGCATCGGTGCTGATTTCTTTGTAGCCGGGCACATTGGCTTTGCAATAGTAGCGACCGGCTGTTTCATTGCTAACGGTAAAGGTGAGATTGGAATTGATGCCAACGACCTGCAAGTGGAGGTAAAGAAAGCAAGAAATAGTTATTGGAAATATAATGCAATGGAATTTTTGTTTCTTCTAGCTTTTTAGTGAGCTTCGAGCATTATTACATGCGCTTGTTTTGCCTTTTGATATACAACTATTTTTAGAAGTTATATATTTTTATTTCAATATGAAAAATTAACGCTTAGCATAGCTAGTATATATAAATTCACGCACCCTATCGCTTGGATGCTGTATCCATACAATGTCTGGCGTCGGATTGCCGTCCACTTCACAGCCCAAAGACACCAAAGTGCCAATGTCTGCTTCGATCGACTGCGGACGCTGACGAAAGCTGGGAGCGTCTGAAAAAGTTATAAGAAAATATTTTTATGCATATAATAAAAAGTACATAAAAAACGCTTGAAGTTTATAAAATTATTGAAATAACTTTTTATTTCATATTTTCATGCAATTTTTACTTACAACTGATATCCAGCGTCTCGCTATCTTCACTCTTGCCCACTGAGTTTTGCACTTCGCACTTGACAATGGCATCATGAAATTTCCTCGTGACATTTCGAATTACCTGTATCGGAAAATGCCAAAATATATTTACTCGAAATATTAAATGAGAAACAAAATAGTTTTTTTATTGCAAAAAAATTTATTTTTATGTACCATTTTATATTGCAGGATTTATGAGTTCAATCATAATTAAATGAATTACAGCGTGTTAATTGCAGCAGTGCGCAATATCTCAAAACGCTAACAATTTCTCAAATAATAATTATTATTATAGCATAAATGCAAATCGAGTTTAATATTCTTGTAATGCATATACACTTTCCGTCATACGGGGCGTATGAGTAACCCGTAATTATGCTTATCAGCACTTAACTAGCAATGGCCGCTATCTGTCGCCAGACACTGGCATAAGCAATGCTGTAATGGAAATGGCTGCTAATAACAATCATACAATCCGCGGTGCTGACTAGTTGTCGGGTCCAGTTGGATGCGGCGCATGCATATAATACACACACAAGTACAATGTATGTATATACATACAAATGGATATGCGCACATATATTATATTTCAGTATACGTCGCGCGTCTCTTTGGGTAATTAAAATACGCAAATAAGTGCTCGTAAATATAAAGAACAGCGGCGCAGCAGCCCCAATGAAGATCTACCAATCACAGTCAACTTAAATACTAAAACGTTCAACGACTGCAAAAGATTGTTATGCGGTCTGTAGGCATTATCTAACCAGTTTACAATTGATATGAAAACGTTTTTCAAAGCCACTTTTAACCGTGCCACATAATTTAGCGCCGCTGCATACGGCTGCGATTCAACATATTTTCAGCCATAACAAATTATGAGAACGAGGAGCCTGTTTTGGCCACACACGGAAGCACATACGCATACACAGAAATAAATAAGTATGTGTATGTATATGTGCATGTGTTGCACAAATGTAAGGGGGAAGTGACGCATGGCTGTAATTGTTGTGAAAATTGCATTCGCTGGCAGCTGCTGAGCAACTGGTTGCAAGTGGCAAGTGGCATAAAGAGACTGGTGTGTAGTTTAGCAAATAATTTGCGTTCTATGCTACGGGTACTGGCGGTGGGTTGAGAGAGAGACCAGTCTGTTTTGGGTAGTTCTAACTGCCATGGAGTATTCAGAGGTGCTTTGATTTCAATTGCCAAGGACTGGTTTACGTAGCAAGTACATATATTAGGGTGAGCCAAAAAAAAAATAGTTTTTTTCTTTTTTTGATACTTTACCAGTCCAGTCGCTTAAACCATATTTGAACCTGATCGGAACGATCGATATCGGACTATTACAGCATATAGCTGCCATACAAACTGACCAATCAAAATCTAGTCGTTATATGGAAAACATTTTTATTTGACAATGTAGCTTCATGAATTTTGGAAACATTTGACTGATTTGATTAATTCTCGAAAAAATCGTTCAGATTCAGTGCCATTATAGCAAAAAGCTACCATGCAAACCGATATAAGCATTTTATTTTTTCTTGTATTGTTTGAATTTTTAATGTAATTGTAAACGATGCTTGTAAGAAGACATACATATAGTAAGATTTTTTGTGAAATCACCAAAGAATGTCTTAAAGCACTCTTTAAGTCATAAATTTTTTGACTCTTGGATGACACTTTTCCCTAAAAAAAAAAAAACTGATTTTTTTCGACCCACCCTAATAAATTCAAAGATGAAAATTTTTATCACATTATACAGTTGATCACTAGCGCACGATATTTTTACGGTATTAAAAAAAGTTGTAGACCACCCTAATATTTATATAAATATGTCTGTACTATACCTCAGCTCGTAGGTATGTAAGTCGTTATATGTGATCATTTTCTAGCTAAACGTGCGCCAAATGTAACGCAGCAACAAGCGCATTAAATTGCCACAGAAGCTGCGAAGCTGGTGTTGACGCTAGCAGCCCCTCATTCAACCAGTTTTTTTGTTGTTATTGCTGTACGCCATTTAATATGGCCGCTGAGGCAGAGTGTTGTGACGCGTTCGATGTACATAGTTAATTACCATTTGGACGGACACTGGTGAAATTAATTGCAATAAGTCGTGTGCGCTATCTAAGAACAACAACAATACCATGAATTTCTACAACCAAAACCGTTCAATATTAAGCGTCAAGCTTTCAACGCCGCAAAATTGCAGCGCTTCCATTTGTTATCGCATCAAATGATTATGATCGTTGCGGCAACGGGTCAACTCTACTGCGCTTGCTTTTGCTCTTCACCACCCGCACCCACAAAGCGGCATAGCGTCTGCCCGGGGGCAATAAAAGCAGCGGCAACTGCCAAACTGGTTGCTACTTTCTAACTGTTTGCTAGTGTCTTTAATTCTACACATTAACGTTGCAACATTTCGCTTGCCACACGTAACAATCAGCGATCGCGTAATCGCGTAATCGCTGTGGCAGCAGCAAAAATAATAGCTATGTATGTGCAACATTTGCTCTACAAATACATATACGCTACTGACGCTGGTGCAATCTGAAAATGTTTAACGCTTTTGTTGTTGTTGCATGGCCACATGATTGGCTTGTGTTACGCGAATTATCGGGCACAGCGGTGGCAAGCATGACAATTCTAACATTGGAGGCGTGCAACAGCAACTGCCACTCCACATTAACCTCAACCCAACCGAGTGCACTCCCATTCACTGCCTCACACCGTAACTAACTACCTATTCTCCTATGCTACAATTCACTCCACACCCAATCTACGCGCATGTAACCACCACCCCTCCATTGACGCTACGTTGTTCACTCAAACACTACAAAACGCTCGAATGGATTTGCTATGCGCTAGTTCTTTAAAACAATAACAAAAAATAGACTTAAATCCATGCATATGCATTGTTTTTGTTGTAACTCACCATCTCGGTTTTTTGTCCACCAACAATTGGTTCATCGTTGATGAACCAGCGATAGCGCAAATCACTGGGATTGGCATCCGCTTTGCACTCTAATCGCACCTGTGCAAACTCCGGTATACGTCCATCCTCCAACGCACCGCCAATTATGTTCACTTTAACTTTTGGTGCGTATTTTACCTGAAAAATGGATAAAAGAAGAAAAGTCAAAATGAGTCGCGTGGAAGTAGCGTTTAGAAAATTGCTGTGAATTGTGCGCTGCTGTTGTGGCAGTAGTTGAAAGCTCCAATTTAAACTGTTTTATTTTACAGCATATAACTATACTTTGTATAAAAAAATAAAAAGTCGGATGTAAATTTGGTATGTGTGTATGAATATCATAATAGATATATTTGCATAAGGTATGAAGGGGCAAATGAAGTAGAGAATTTTTTTTTTTCGTTTCTTATAAGTCCTAAGCGTCTATATATACTAAACCCTGTTAGAGTCTTAAACTACTATACGAGTATATGTGGCAATGGTTCAACACCTTCTACAAGTTTACTTAGCTAACTCAACGTTCAACTGTATAAATAAGCACTCCTTTAAAAACTGCTTCTCAAAACTAAATATAATTGTTTACAGCACAGATATCTAGAATGTGCACGAATGCCCCTTATGCCGAAACATTTCCCAAATTCCCGTGTTAATAGTCTTTGGTAGAACAAAACTGGCTATTTTCGGATTACGTAAACTCGATTGTCATGTGAACAGGACCCTAAATTTTCGCTGGCGACCACCTTTGGTGTGTTTTATAAATTGCTTACCACTCTATTGATGCATATAGAATTTCGTGACTTAAAAGACCCATTCATTAGAAATGAATAAACTGATTTATCATGTTAAAAAGAGTTCACAGATAGAACTGTTTAAATATCAAACTATTAAAAATCAAATCTGTAATACTTTATCCATCCAAAACCTAAAATAGACCTAACATACATATTAAAATGTCATACATGGGTCATAACAAGTCTCTTAATTGGTTAATGCAGGGCGAAAAAATATATATAATCCAACTAGTGGGAGACAAATATATGACATATTTAGTTATTTACATTTCCGGTGTGGATTACATATAAGTAAAAAAAGGACATTGAAGGGCTAGAAGTTGATGTAAAGAGAGTGTTGCTTATATTTGATTTTACTAGATTTCTTCTCCTTAACAACCAACCATCTTATGTATGAAAACAAACTGTTCCAGAATTTTGAGAAAAAACGTAAAAACCGACGGGAATTTTTAGCTAATTTAAACCTAAAAATTATTATACTAAAATAGAGAGGCATATTTAAACTTCTTCCAAAAGTTTCGAATAAAAAATTATATATATTTTCACGGAAAAATGTGGAATAATTTTTAATTTTTTTAAATCCTGCGCAAAACCTAGACTTATTTACGAGTTCGATGTGGTATGAACTATGTCTTTATATATAAAAATTACATGTCGCATTTTGTGCGGTGTAAAATCCCAAACTATTAAACAGATTATAATACAATTTAGCACACTGTATACAATTTGATCCAATTTACAATATAGGATAGTTTATATCTTTATTATGTTAAAAAATTATTAAACAGATTATAATACAATTTAGCACACTGTATACAATTTGATCCAATTTACAATATAGGATAGTTTATATCTTTTATATGTTAAAAAATTATTGAAAAAAGGCCGTTTTTTGCTCAAGGAACCCATGTAACCCCTTAATTGAGAAAAGAACGTACGGTCTATCACCCTTTGATCATATGAGCTGATTGCCCCTATTGCAGTAAACGTAGACAAAACATAAAAAAGTTGGTTGGTAATTTTGCGCGAACAGGCATCGCTGTTCTTTTGCTTTACTTTTCATTCCGATAACAAACCAATCAGAAAAAAGCCAAATTAAAGCCACTGCTCAGCTTACTATCCAAAACAATCGCTGATTTCCAAAAAAAAATTTAAATAAGTAAATAGGGAGTATTGCCATAAATTGGAATTGGCGCAATTTAAAAGATACAAGTGGTTGGACCACCAAAATTGTGCTGTTTACTATAATATAAATATAATATATCATACTAAGGTGCTATAACGCGTATACTTAACTCAAATTGTTATGAGAGACAAAACAACGCAAAAAACACTAGAATATGCAATAGTTGACGAAAAGATATGGAAGTGATTTAAGAAAGTCGGCAATTTAGTTTTATGGAAATTCTGATAACTTTTTATGATTCTATATAATTTCATATCCAGGCTTATACATGTAAATATATAAAAATACGTCGTACTTAAGATATTCAGGTAAATC